ATTGTGGGTAGTGCCACTCCTGGACAGATGGTCCTGGGTTCTGTAGGGAAACAGACTGAGCAAGCCAGTAAGCTGCACTCCTCCATGGTTCTGCATCAGCTTCTGTCTCCAGGCTCCTGCCCAGTTTGAGTTCCTGTCCTAACTTCCTTCAGTGATGAACAGTAGTGGGACAGTATAAGCCAAATGGACCCTTCCATCCTAACTTGCTTTTGGTCATCACAGCAAATAGTAACCCTAACTAAGACAGGAAGGTAGATTTTTGTTGTTGTTGTTGTTGTTATTGCTTTGTAAATAGTAACAAACAAGAAATAGGAAACAAAAGTAGATCTTGTGTTTGGTTTGGCTCTATCATTTAATTTTATAGATGAGAAAACTGATGTTCAAAGAAATGAAATGACTTGCTGAAGTGAGCAGTGATGGATGTTCCAAAGCAATGCAGATGCCAGTCTTTAGTAAAATGAAGTGATGGTCCCTTAACTGTACATACAGCTCATATTCACAGGAGCTGAGATGAAACCAGTCTCTATGTCCATCAACAAATGAGCTAATAGACCTCTCTCTCTCTCTCTCTCTCTCTTTCTCCTCTCTCTCTCTCTAACTTTATTCAATAATAAAGAAGAATAAAATTATGTGAGTTGCAGGAAAATGGGTAGAGCTGGAGACCCTCATTTTAAATAAAACAATTCAGACTAGAAATATCAAATATTCCATACTCATGTGTGGAATCTATACTTAAAACTATATGAAAAACACTGAAACAGAGGAGAGAATGATTAGATCCATTGTGTATCAAAAGCAGTACAGAAATCCAACTTTTGATAATAGGTTTGGATCAAGGTCTCTCATTAGGTCCTACAATCAGTATTCTCTGTGTTTTCCTCATACCAGTGACAGATGTTGGTAGTTGTTTCTATCCAGCTCTGTTATCTGAAGACTCTGCTCATACCTGTACAGTGTGAAATAAAAACTTAATTGACATTTGGTATAGCTACTAATTAACAAAGACCTGATGCTTTTCAAAAGGTTTCAAAAAATCAAACAAACCTGTATACACAAGGTTGGAGAAGACTTTAAAGGAAGGGAGAACAGAGAGCAAGAGGGAAAGCAAAGAAAAAAATGTTGCATTTCCCCCCTTACATGTAGACTCTAGTTTTGGCTAAACACACATGATATGAAAGCAGAAGAGAAGTTCTTTGGAAAGAAGAATAGGGTCCCGCAGGAAGAAGAGGAGGAATAAGGGAAGATAATGGGTGGTGAATATGAGCAAAATACAATGAAAATATCACAGTGGAACCCATTATTTGCTATGCCAAATCAATAGAATTGTAAAGAAAACCAACCTTTTCCTGGGGAATCCACTAACAGATTAGTTACCCGGGTCTACTTGGTGATAGGACTGACAGTCTACCTGTCAACGCTGTAGTTTGAATTGGCAGGCTGAAATTAAACCCTCACATACCAGGCAGGCATCCAACCCAGCAGGCACAATGTGAGTTCAGATGACAGCTGCCCTGTGTCTGATGTGTAAATTGAAGAGTTTTCTGGGTGAGGTATTCCAGAAAGAAAAGGGAAGGATTTATTTGCTATGCTTGCTGACTCATCCTCCATGCAGAAAATCATGATCTGCTCAGTGAAAATGTTCTTAGTTAGACCAGAGAAAAACAGTGAATAGCCCTCGGCAGGTGGTAATGACACACACCTTTAAACCCACCCTCCATCCCTACCCCCACCCCCGGAGGCAGAGACAGGTGGATCTCTGTGAGTTCGAGGCCAGCTTGGTCTACAGAGGAAGTTCCAGGACAGGCTCCAAAGCTACAGAGAAACCCTGACTTGAAAAACAAAACAAACAACAAACAAAAGCCCAAACAAAAAGAAAGCCCTCAAGATTATCCAATGTCCTTTGCTCTTCAAGTTTCCTTGTTTGGTTTTTAATTTGGAGGCACAGCCCACGATACATCAACATGTTAGAAGGCAATTCTCTCTTTTTTTTTCCTATATTATCAGCATTCCTATCATAGTCCTTGAGAAAGAAAGTTTTGAGTCAGTTAGTGTAGAAACTCTCTAAGGGGCTGCATAAATCTGCTTCTATGAGATGTGAACCATAATGACTTCACAGTTCAGTTCAGTGAAGCTTGTCTTAAAACCCATGCTCTGAGAGCATAGTGGTGCACAACTTTAATCCCAAACCTTGAGAAGCAGAGATGGGTGGATCTCTGTGAGTTTGAGGTCATAGTGACATGAGTTCCAGGATGGCCAGAGCTACATAGTGAGACCTCTGTCTTGAAAACGAACAATAATAACAAAAATATGCATTGGCAGGGCTGCAGGTACTCATCTGATGAGAGCACTAGCTGATGTTCCAGAAGACCCACGTTTGATTCCCAGCAACTATATGGTAGCTCACAACCTTCTGTAAGTCAAGTCTCAAGGGATCCAACACCATCTTCTGGCCTCTATGGACAATAGTTACACAAGTAGTGTATAAAAATATATTCAGACAAACACCCACACATAACATAAATAAATTTAAAAAAAACCCCAAACCCATTAGGCGTTGGGACCGAAGAAACAACTCCATTGATAGAGTGCTTGTCTGGCATGGATTAGTGTGGTATTGAATAATCCCAGCACCCTTGGAAGTGGAGTAGAGGCAGGAGGATCTGGAGTTCAGGGCTAACCTGAGCTATATAAGATCCTATCAACAACAACAACAAAAATACACATTCAGGCATTCTGACCTTTCTGTTTCTGGTCCATTGCCTCAACACCGGACCAACTTGCTCCTCGTCTTTTTTTTCTTACACTTCTTTCAGATTCTCAAGTCTGATTCTCATTTCTAAGGTTTTATACAACCATGTGATTTTGCCTTTTTGTTTGTTTGTTTGTTTTCTTGTCAAGGTGGGTAGTAGATCCAAGATCTTATGTCATGCTAGATAAGTGCTTTATAACATTGATAACTGAGCTGTAGCACCAACTTCCTCTCTCCCTCCCTATTCTCCTCTCTATACTCTCCCTGATTCCCTCCTTCCAATAAATGGTAGCCTAAGATAACCTAAGCCAGACTTGAGCCCTACAATCTTCCTGCCTCGGCCACCTGAGTGTTCATAATACAGGCTTGTACCACCACATTCATTGTTTCTGATTTTTCTTTATGACCCTTCTTCTTCTATGTTCTGCTTGCCTCCTCCCCCTAAATGTCTGGCAAAACTCATAGAAATTGTAATTTGGGGCATGCCTTCACGGGACATTAACCATACATTTTGTCCTTATTGTCTTGTTAATTTTTTTCCTGGGTTTCTTTCTAGACGATGATCTGAACTGAGTTCTTAATTGACAATATAACCTATCTGTCCTAGTGAGGTTAATGAATTCAGAGTCAGATTGCCTTTGAGTTCTTGCCAGTTTGGGCAAGTCACCTCAGCTTCTGTGCCTTGTGTCCTCACTTGTGAAACTGACAGCTGCTAGGCCAGTAGGATGTTGAGGCTGAGTGAATGTGTTACTGCTGTGACAAGGGGTACAGAGCTCCCTGGTTAAACAGGTTCTGAGTATGTGCTAGGCCATGGGTCTAATCCTCAGCATCACCAAAAGGCAAAGGAAAAAAAGTAGAAAATGTGGCCAATTTGGTATCAGTTGCTAGTATTACTATTGTCCTCTTCTGTAAGTCTCCTGTGACTTCAGAGCCTAGCAATTATTTTGAACGGAGAGAAAGCAATACAGATACAATGAAAAGTAAATTCAAAATATCACAGTTCACCAAGGTGGTTATCACTACATTAGCTTTAAAATTCCATGTTTTCCTTTTGATGCCAGCAGCTTGAATTCTCTACCAGTTCAAAAGCTACCATTCCACTTCTCCTGTATGTGTAGATCACTTCAGTCTAAAAGATATTTTTTCTAAATCATCAGAACAAACTTTTCTGCAATAACTTCCAAATTTTCTAAGTAAATCATAAGAAAGTGTTAACGGGAAGGTCAAATACAGGCGATGCTTTCGCTCAGTAAATAACAAAGGACAGGGAGAAAACAACATACACTTTACCGGAATCTGAGTTAAGAAATTGGGGCAGCAGAACAAACAGCAAACAATTACTTGAGTTACATCAGAGTAAAAAGAGAAGAGATTACCAGGGTTTCCAGTCTGAAACTGTTACACAACATGATTAGTGGAACTGGAAAGTTACCTATTACATGTTAGATACTGCTCCAGGGGCTTTGAATACAAAAAGAACAGTTTGCTGAGAGTACAGCTGATGCTCACAGGTGTCACAATTTCACACATTACAGAATGTCCCACATCCATGAACAATTGGGTAGCAATAGTGGGACTTTAGTTGGTTAACAGAAAGAAACAAAGGAAGGAAGGGAAGGAGGGAGGGAAGGAGGGAGGGAGGGAAGGAGGGAGGGAGAAAAAAGTGAAGTTGGGAGGGGATGTGCTGTCAAGGACATGGGGGATCTTGGAGGGAAATGGGAGATGGATAAGATAATATTTCATCTTTTCATGTTTGAAGTTCTCAAAAATAAAGGGAAAAAAAACGAATAAGATCAAATAAACTGGCCATTCCATGTTGGCAATTGTAAATTGGTGATGATGATGTTTTGTACCTAAGAAAAATGTGGCCTTTACCTGTGGTCTTTGCTGAAATCATACTTTAGCTCCCCTCTTTGCAGGTGGCAGTTTATTAACTTTAATGTCTATAAGGCAAAGCTTCAAATGCACTTAGATTTTAGGATAAAGTACAAAATTCTCTGGATGAAGACAACTATAAAAGGCTGAAATAAAGATATGCAATCCAATAAAATTGCATATAAGTGGGAGAAATTGAAAATGTAAGACTACCGGGGTTTTGCCCTTGATTTATTATATTTATTTATTTATTTTGTATTCCTTCCAGTTAAACTGATTTCCTCATGTTGTTTCTGGATTAGAGCCAGAATAAACTTTGCCTGTTTCTAATCAAATAATGGAGAAGGATTTACAGATTCAGACTTCAGTTAGAAGTTCCTGGGAGACTGTGTCTGGATGGGACCTAGCTGAGGGTCGATTCATCTTGACTTGAGGTAAGTTATTATCTGCACTCTTGACTGGACTGTAGTAATGCTGACTTTTTTCATGAGAAAGAATGATAGTCACCACAACACAAAAAATAACCATGGGCCTTTGAGAGAGATTGGAATGATTGGCAATAAGGCAGATCTGCAGTTTGGAGGAGAGATTTAAATTTAAGTAGCCTCTAGTAGTCTCCTTATATTTTGAATGGGTTGAATGGCAGTTCAAAGTAAAACTTTCTATTTCAGCCTACAAAAGAAAAATCAGAATAGACCACATTATGATCTGGGTTTCCCAAATGCTTTTCTTTACTTCAGCAATTTGGAGATCAAATATGTTTAGGTGTTTTTTTTTTAAAGCATATATATATAACAAAATATAGTTATATTCCATTTTCAGAAAATGAGGGCAAGTCTGGAAAAACAGCAGAGCAAGGGTCTCTCAGACTGTGCTTATGGGTAAAATTCTAGCTGTCTATATCAAGGTTGTTGCTCATGTGTGGCTGCTAACTTAGAAAATACATTGCTGCTGGCAGTGGTGGTGCATGCCTTTAATCCCAGCACTTGAGAGGCAGAGGCAGCCAGATCTATGTGAGTTCGAGGTCAACCTGATCTACCGAGCCAGTGCCAGGACAGGCTCCAAAGCTACACAGAGAAGCCCTGTCTCAAAAAAAAAAAAAAAAAAAAAACAACCCAAAAAACCTAAAAACAAAGAACACCCCCCCCCCCAAACCCACATTGCTTTTTCCCTTCTTCTTTTAAATTTATTCTCTTTCATTTTATTGAAAGGTTTCCCCACCCTCCCTGTACTCCTCCTGGTTCCTCCCCTCCTCCCAATCTCCCCTCCCATCTGGGTCCACTCCCTTTCTGTCTCATTAGAAGACAAACATCCTTCTGAGGATTAGTATAGTAAAAACAAAATGAACATATCTGAATTGGACAAGGAAAAGAGTCCAAGAGAAGGCACAGGAAACAGACCCACTTCTTTGCACATTCAGGAATCCCATAAAAATACTAAACAGGAAGCTATAATATGTATGCTAAGGGCCTGGTGCTGCTCCATGCAGGCCCTGTGCATGCTACCTTAGTCTTAGTGAGCTCATACCTGCTTTGACCATGTTGATTTACAAGGCCCTGTTTCCTTGGTGTCCTCCTTGCCCACTGGCTCTTACTTCTTACAACCTTTCTGCCTCTTCTTCAGGGTTCCCTGAGCTCTGAGGGGATGGATTTGTTGAAGGCATCCCATTTAAGGCTAAGTGTTCCAAGGTCTCTCATTCTCTGTATGCTATCTGACTGTAGGTGTCTACATTTGTTCCCATCTCCACAGGAGGAAGCTTCCTGATGATGGCTGGGCAAGACACTGATCTGCTTCACTGGCTGGAGCCCCTTCTTTTAAATTTATTTTATCTTCTATCATCTCATGATGGCCCATTCAAACATATATTTTTAAAATCTTTATATGCTATCAACATACTTTCTTTTATGGTTCTATTTGTAAAAGGCCATATTTTATAAGCATTTGGGAGGCAGAAACAAGAGGATTATTGCAAGTTTGAGCCCAGCCTAGCTGACACTAAGAGTTCCAGTGAGATCCTGCCTCAAAAAAAAAAAAAAAAAAAATCACACACACACTGAGCAATGAATTAAAATGTATAGCCTTAAAACTATTTATTCATTTATGTTCTGGGAACTGAACCAAGAGCCTTCTTCATGCAAATCATAGTCTACCACTGGGCTACATCCCCACCCTCCTTAAAATTGTTCATACTGAATAATATAGCTATCAGAGAGTACCTATTTGAAAATAATTTCAAGGGATGATTAATTTTATAATAATTTAAAGTATAATGATTTATGATTCAAAATGCCTAAAGCAAAATGATATCTGAGATAATATTTTCTTCCTTAAAGGACTAAAGTATCAGGTTAAATATAAAGATTTTATTTATATTTTGAGCAGTTGAGAGGACATTAATAGCCAAGAGCATTAATATATCTTTCACACAAAGAAGAACATCTGTCCTTTATATAATCTAGTGTGTTTCATAAGAAAATGCTTGCCTGTTTTTAGAGAAGGGAAATGTCAAGGTTTCTAGAGACAACATTTATATGACTCCTGGAAAGTTCTGGTGATTACTGAAGTTCAGTGGGAAGTTCTACCCAGCACTGAGAAGTATGAACCTCAATAATTTTCTATTAGTAAAGCCTCATTTCTTTTATTTAAAAAAAGAACCATTTCAGCTTTTATTCATAGGTATGGGTGTGTCTGTGTGTGGATATGCACACATGCATATGAGGGTATACTTGGAGGCCAGAAGAGGACATTGGAGCTGGGGTTCCAGGTGGTTGGTGATTCACCTGATGTAGGTGCTAAAAACTGAACTTGGGTTGTCTAGAAGAACAGCAAGTGTTTTTTTTTTTTTTTTTTTTTTTTTTTTGTTTGTTTTGTTTTGTTTTTACCACTGAGCCATCTCTCCAGCCTTATAGTTTCTTTTTATAGTTTGGCTTCCACCTAACTCCTTCAGTTTCTTTTCTTTCTTTTTTCTTTTCTCTTTTTTTAAAATTTACTTTTGAAACGAGGTTGTTTTACATGTCAATCCCTGTTCCCTCACCCTCCCCTATCACCCCCAACAAACCCCAGCCCATCCCCTTTCTGCTCCCCAGGGAGGGTGAGGCCTTCCATCTGGAGTCTTCAAAGTCTGTCATATCATTTGGTGCAGGGACTAGGCCCTCCCCCCATGTGTCTAGGCTGAGATAGTATCTCTCTATGTGGGATGGGCTCCCAAAGTTTGTTATATACTAGTGATAAATACTGATCCACTACCAGAGGCCCCATAGACTGCCCAGGGATCAAAACCATGCTGGAGAAACCCACAGAAACAGCTGACCTGAGCAAGTGGTCATGGACCCCAGTCTGATGACTGGGAAATCAGCTTAAGACAGAACCAGGTCCCCTGAATGTGGGTGACATTTGCTTTCTTTTTTAACTTGGTCATTCTGACTAAGATAAGATGAGCCTCAAAGTAATCTTAATTTGCATATCCCCAATGGCTAAGCTTGTTGAACACTTAAAAAAATGTTTCTCATCCAGATTTATATTTCACTTTTTGATAATTCTCTGTTTAGTTCCACGTTCTATTTTTAATTGGGTGGTTTGTTTGCTTGGTGTTTCATCTGTTGAGTTATTTGTACGCTCTAGATACTAAACCTATGTCAAATGTGTAGCTGGTAAAGATTTTTTTCTATGCTGTAGATCGCCTGCTCACTCAAATAATCATGTCCTTTGCCATTGCCTTTTAGTTTCATATGGTTCCATTTATCAATTTTGGATCTTACTCCTTTAGCTTCTAGGATCTTATGTGGAAAGTTGTTTCCTGCATCAATTACCTCTGTGAGATTGAGGGTGTCAGGTCTTATGCTGAAGCCCTTGACCCGTTTGGAATTGAGTTTTGTTCGGGGTGAGAGACAAGGATCCAGTTTCATTCCTCTACACATAGCTATCCAGTTTGTCAAGCATCATTTGTTGAAGAAGGTGTCTTTTCTCAAATGGGAATTGTTGGCCTCTTTATCAAAAACCAGGTGTCTGCAGGAGGCTGGGTTTGTATGTGGGTCCTCAATTCTATTCCATTGATAAATGCCCTTCCCATTCTAGAACAGTTTTTATTACTCCAGGGGAACTGAGAACTTCACATTTTATAGGTATGAACTTAAATAATTGTTTAAGTGTTAGATCACTGTGCTCAAATTTTGGTATTCACTCGAACCTTTTGGAAGTCTTCAATGAATTCTAGTGGTCCACATATGCAATCCTAGTGTAGACAGGAAGATTGCTCAAGTTTAAGGATAGCTTGGGAAACAGAATGAGTTCTAGGCCAATCTGAGCTATAGAGTGAATCTTCATCTAAATAACAGCAATAACTGAACACAATTCTGGAGCCTTACTATTACTACCTATAGACTTAACACTTTAATCTTTGGACATAGAGGTTTTCTTTGTAATATTCTCCTCTTTGATCCCAGTGAGTAACAAAGTTTAGGGACCATTTATTTTGTTACAAAAATTATAAAGAACATGACAGGTAAAAATGATTAGCCATTGTATGTCCTAACAGAATATAAATTGGCCAATAAATAATACAGCTCATTCCAGCAGGAATTGTATATAAAACTTGATTGTGCAAACATCTTCTACCATTATCATCTAAGTTTATGAAAGACTCACTGCTGTAACTGTACCCTGAAGTTATTCTGAGTATGAGCAAATGTTTCCAACAGGAGTCATGACTTCAGGACTGGTGTAAAGAGCTTGAGGGATAGCTAGGTGGAAGAGAACTTGTCTAGGATGCACAAGGGTCCTGGGTTTGCTCTTCAGCCCTGGAAAAAGCAATCTCAAGGAGGGGAAGTCAGACATTCAAGGTGGAAGCAGGAGGCTCTTGAATTTGAAGTTAGCCTGAGCTGCATAATTAAACCTTGGCGAAGGGGGAAGAGGAGGGGGCGGGGAGAGAAGAAGATAGATGAGGAGAAGGAGCAAGAAACAGCAGCTGTAATGTTAGCTTTCTCCCACAAATTTAATAAAGCACACCTTGACATTTTACATTACCATGATTTCTTGCATACATATTAAGATCAAGATAAACAGTGCACAACAGTAGAAACCAGTGGGAGGTAGTAGGTATCTGAGAGTTCAAGGCTAGCCTGGCATACATAGGGAATTCCAGCCTAACCAGGGCTACATAGAGAGACCCTGTCTCAAAAAAAAAAAAAAAAAAAAAAAAAAAAAAAAAAGATACAAAGGAAGAATGCAAAATGCATACCAACTTTCTATTATAACTTTCTTCTTCTAAAAATAGAAATCGTCCTCCACATCATTATCAGGTATTTATCTAGCACATCAATGCCCAGAGATCTAAAAATGTTATCTCAAAATTTCTGCAGTGTTGTAAGGTGGACAGGGATCTCATCTCCATTTTACAGAACAGGAACACTTTGCCAAGTTGCCTGAAGTCATACAGTTATGAACTGGCTGAGCCCAAACATGGTCACAGGTCTGTCTTCCTTTTCCTGTCCTTTTCTACACTCTCACGAAGTAGCACGTTTGAGCCCTCGATGAAACTGGACCGCTTTGTGTGTCTGTGTTATTGAGCAAATTCAATTATTTCTAAGCTTTGATGCAGTTCATTCTCAGCACTTTGTGCAACAGAAGGCTAAATGGGAAGTAGGGGATATCTTTCTAGGTAGCCCTCAGGTGCTCTGGAGCTTTATCTGAACCTGTTGAGTCTGGTCTTATGACAAATGCTTTCTCTTGTAGATCTTTCAGTGGCAAGAATGGGGGAGATTCACAGCTTTTTCCTGGTCACCATTGCTCTGATAATGGGCAGAGAAAGCTGGGTAAGCATCTTGTACACACTAGTATTATCTATAAGGTACACTTAGAGATAGATTTTTTTTTTCTTTAAATTTCCAGAAAACTGATATTAACTTGCTGCCAAGGAATGAAAAAGTTCTGTGGAAACATGTGGCACATAGTAACATTTTAAAAATAAAAAACAGGATTTATAAAAAAAATCAGTATTATTTCCTATTTTTTCTTTCCTTTGTTTGTTTTTGTTTTTTCGAGGCATTGTTTCTCTGTAGTTTTGGAGGCTGTCCTGGAACTCGCTCAGTAGACCAGATTAGCCTCGAACTCCCAGAGATCCACCTGCCTCTGACTGGGATTAAAGGCGTGCGCCACCACCACCTGGCGTCGTTTCCTTTTTCACAACATGTCAGGTGTTCAAAACTGGCCATGGTAGTTAGTATTGGTCTTGGACCAATACTGAACGTAATTGGTGTACACTACGAAGATTATTTGAAAGTAATTTCAATGAGCTTGTGTCTCTCTTTACCCTTCCCAAAGGACAAAAGACAAGCTTACTCAAAGTTCTGGGAAAAATAAGACGACTTTCTGGTTGAAATAGCATTCTGATGCGGGATTGGGAGACACAATTGAATTAAGGATTTATCCAGATTTTTAGCAACATTTTTCTTTCCCATGAACTGAGATGCACATTGCCTTGCAGGCCCTGGAGAATGCGAACTGTTTGCGGGAGCAGGAAAGGCTCCGAGCTCAGGTGCACCAGCTTGAGACCCGGGTTAAACAACAACAGGCTATGATCGCCCAGCTCATGCATGAGAAGGAAGTCCAGTTCCTGGATAAGGGACAGGAGGGAAATTTCATTGACCTTGGAGGCAAGAGGCAATATGCAGGTCAGAATTGGTTTCTCCTAAATGTTTCAACCAGCTGTGTCACACATCCCACATCCGTATGTAATGATGGTACTGGGTATTCAGTGACTTAGGGCTTTTTTTTTTTTTTTTTTTTTTTTTCTGTTTTGTTTTTTAGTTTCCGTGTTCAACTCAGGATCACACTCTGGCTGGCCTGGTACTTAGTTGTCTTACTGCCTCAGCCTCCTCAGTTACTGGGATTTCACTACTGTCAGCTCACTTCACATCTTGCTAAAAACTATGCCTATTCCAGTTCTAAGCAGCAAAACTCACTCCATCAATTTAAAATGTCTTCTTCCATATTTTACCCTTTTCTCTCTAGTATGTTCACAGAGGATATTTGATATGAATACTAAATATCTGAGAATTTCTGTATCTTAATAAAAAATCAGGACAATAGATTGTTAAATACTCACCTAAAATGGCAGATTGTAATTGAGAATATTTATATTTAAACTTTGTTTTTTTTATGTATGTCTTTACTCCTTCTATGTATCTTTATTTTGAGCTGAGTCTCTTTGTGTTGTCTAGTCTAGTCTTGAACTTCAGAATGAAATTCTACCTCAACTTCTTGGGTAGTTTGAACCACAAATGTGTGCTACCCATACCCGGTTCTCCCCTCAGTGAAACCCGCAATGAAAAATAAGTGAATAGAATGAAAGGGTAGGAAAAGAAAAAAATCTCATTTTAATGGAAAATAAGAGTAGTTTTTTTTTTAATATGTCTATTTAATGGTTTGGCTTTTTTCCTTTTGATTAGGGCACTATTTATATCCTAGAAGTGAAATGATATTGAACTATGAGTACACTATAATTACCACTGCACACATCTCACTATTCTTTGCACATATGAAGGGCTTATTTAAGAGTGAACAAAGACTGTTAGAAACAAAGATAATGCTGTCTAGAACTCTTTGTTCACAGTCATCTCTATGCTACACGTCTATGATGTGTTCTAATTTCTCTGCTTATGAGTGCGAGTCTAACTTGATCAATGAAATGGTCACTGTGTAAGATTTGAAAGGATATCCATTGCATTTAAAGTATTTAGTACTATATGTATGGATGCTTTGCCTGTATGTATGTCTGTGTATGTATGTATGTATCCCTGGCCACCCACTTTCTCCAGCATAGCTCCACCTCCTAAAAGTTCCACTGTCTCCCCAAACGTCTAGGGACTAAATGTTTAAGTGCATGGGACCATGGGAACACTTCCCATTTAAACCACAGTGAGATCTGGAGTTGTGGGAACTATAGAACTTACACTACAGTAAAATGTTCACTTTCCCCACCTTCGCCTAGATCCTACTCTCTTTCACGCTCATACTGCTTGCTCTGGATACCTCACCTTCTGCTGCTCAGTTGACTTGGTTGAGATTTCTATTGCTGTGGTAAAAAGCAACTTGGTGAGGAAGGAGTTATTTCCACATCACAGTTCATCACTGAAAGAAGTCAAGTCAGGAACTCAAGCAGGGGAAGAATCTGGAGGCAGGAGCTGATGCAGAAGCTATGGAGGGGTGCTGTTTAGTAGATCCCTCCCCAGTGCTTGTTCAGCCTGCTTTTTTATGCCATCCAGGACCACCTGCCTAGAGGTAACACTGTCCACAATAGTCCTATATCAATCACCCACCAAGAAAACACCATAGGCTTGCCCTTGACCAGTCTGGTTGGACATTTTCTCAAATTGAGGTTTCTTCTGCCCAAATGACTTGCTTGTGTCAGTGTAAACTTGATATGAAAATATCCATTATTCAAGCATCTTGATACTTTTAGGCCCTGCCACCCATACACACAAAGTTTTCTCTGCTTCCCTTTAGAGGTCAGAGAAAGTCAGAGCCATTGGCTTGTGGTAGTAAGGGCAGTTATAGCATAAGGATAGCTGGGGCTTCAGACCATGAAACAGAACTGAGGACATGTCAGGTTAAGAGAGCCTGGGAAACCCAAAGGCATAGAGAGTGTGAAGAAGTTCCAGAGGCAGAGGCACAAGAGATTGCATTGTAAGAAGAAAACTACAGAGGATATTGGCTAAGACAGTAAATGAAGGATCATGAAACATCTACAAAGAATCAGACTCTCTCTATATTCTTGGAAGACAGTGATTCCCTGCCATAACCACTCATTCAGAGTAGCTGGTGACCTTCTAAAGTGCCAGTTCTTACCCCAAACTGGAGGGGGGTAGTGACTTGAGATTTTACTCTGTTTGCAAACTAACAAGCTCATCTGCATGGATCTCTCAGAGGGCTACAGCTCACAGGTCAGAAGTTTAAGTTTCATATTTGCATTAATGTCCCTTGTTCTTAAATACCAAGAGACCATGCAAGCAGTTAATGGGGCTTTGGACACCCTAAAATTAAGAAACTCTAGTATGCTATGGTGAATTAAAAGGTGTCTAATCTTTGCCTTCAAGGTAGATGTTATCTTCATTTTAGTGTGCAGTAAGCAGAGCAACTGTCCAGAAGGAGATGTTATCTCAATATCTTTCAAGACTATCACACAAGTATACTTAAAAATGTAGTCTAGAATATAAACTTCATTGGAAAAAAAATGTGTAGAAATACAAGGGCCCTATGGGGAATTGTCTACAAACATTGCCTTTTTTCTACTCCAGACTAATTAATGAAGCACCACTGTAGGCCAGAAAATAATTTATGAGCTTTTGTTGGATGTGGATGAAATTGTTTTAAGAATAAAACCAGTTCAGATTTCTTACCAAATTTCCTTCCATGGGCTGAGATGGATCAAGATTGTTTGGGGTCACCAAGTAAATGTTCTCTCTTTTGGGTTAATGATATGTGCTTCATGGTACCTTTTTCATTTGTTGCAGTTGTAATATGGTCAGGTATCTATACAGAAACTTTTGCTACCTATCCTGTGACTAGTAAGTCCAAGAGCCAAATAAAATGGTATGGTCTTGGTGGTGTAGCTGGTTAGAAATCAATTCACTAGTAATGAGATTGTGAAGTAGATTCCTATATCATCCATTGGTCATTCATCTGGCTAGTAGAAAGTGGATGGAAGAATCTGAGACAAGTTGGAGGGTAGAATTTTCTTGAGGGATTGGATAAGTCTTTGGGAATGATCACAAGGTTGGTTCACAAAAAAATTTTGTGTCCTTCCCTAATTCATGTGTCAAAAATTTCAAATGTCAACATTCTAATACCAGTAGCTTTGTATGAAATACATTTGGACATTTAAAGCAATCAGCTAGCAAAAATGAGAGCATTAGGCGTACCCACATCTCACAGAACAAATATCCTCATAAGAAGTGATACATACATACAGAATTAAGACTATGAAGAGGCACAAAGAGAACTACAACTAAGGACAAAGGGCTGGAAGAAACCAGTTCTAATAACTGGTGACATATTGACTTCTGAACTTTAGAAAGATTGTGAGAAAATACATCTCTGTTGTTGCTAATAAGTTAGTAGTATGTTTCTCTGTAAATTTAGGAAATTAATATGCCACAAATATGATGAAGGTCAGCCTTTGGACTAGAAATGTGATACTTTTATATGAAAAAACTGAACTGAAATGTCATTTGGTCTAAATCCCTCATGTCACAGGATTAACCAATATATTTTCTGTCCTTGGTGAGCATCTTAGAAATCCTTTTAGGAGATTTCAATGTAAGAGATAGACAAACAAACAGGTTCAAGAACCACATGCAGTGGTGTGTTTTGGGTGGTTGAGTGTGGCCAGTTTGAAGTGAATATATTAGTAATGAGATAGACCTATCCATTGGCTGATGGCACTGTGAAGTAGATTCCTATACCCTTTGGTCATTCATCTGGGTAGTAGCGGGTGAATAGGTAAATTTGATAACTTGAACCTTTCATTCTAAATCTTAGAGACACACTGAATGTATCAGTCATCATTGTGTGGCTTTAATGAAGGTAGAGGATGACCATGTTAATAAATAGATTACCAATGATTGGTACAAATGAGGAAACTCAAGTATGTCAACTTCAAGAATGTCTACATATCTAGAATAACAAACTTTGCTGCACATATGAGGTAATGAAAGATGTCATCCAGGATGATCCTTCCTTGGGAACACTTGTGGGTTGCAGAGGATCTTGGAAGAACAGTATAGTCTATAGGATATCAGAGAATGCCTTGCTAAACAAGGCTGAGTTATGTTTTGCTTAATGTCACATATGGAAAGTGATAGCCATGATTTTGGTTATAAATGACTGAGTTTATTAAGTATATGGTAAGAAAAAGAAGAAGAACAAACAGCAAGCAGCAAACAGAAGCAGCTGTTTCTGCTATCACAGTTAAACCATGACTCTCCCATGACAAGCTCCTTAAATTGTTCTTTATATGCTGTTTGCTTTTCAGAGTGTGCTTATTGACTTATTTTTTATTTGCTCATTCCCCCCCCAGGGGTAGGTGGGTTGTTTGTTTATTTTTCTTTCATTAAAAGCTCTCCTTAGGATATTTAGTTGTGTTTGGCACTTTCTTGTGGAGAGAAAGAAAAGCCAAAACTGAAAGATGGCATGAAATTAAAACAAACAGAAAGTGTTGGCAGAAATCCCCATATTCATGAAATTTTTCTAAAGCAAGTTAGTTAATGATTTCCATATTTGCAGGGAAGAGTTTGAACCTTGTGCATCTTTCAGCTCTTTGATAGGAGGTCAACTATAAACAAGGAGCTCTTTCCTAATGGAGGAAAAATGTACTGACTTTAATGAAAGTCTTCTACAATATACTTGACTACAGGACACAAGCTTTGAAGTAACATTGAGTTGACTGTACATGGATATTTTCTTCTTGTTTAGTTAGCTAACGGGATCCCATTTATAATCCACCATACATAAAGAACAGTTTGTTTTTGAATCTTGAAAATAAATGTATGAACAAAGCCTAAATTACTAAAAAGGCCAACAGTAGTGCATAATTGAAGACAGACTTGTGAAGTCTATTTATTTTCTCTTAAGATGCTCACTGCCCACCCAACTTAATTAATATGTTATGTGTTTCATTTGTTGACACTTTGGCATCAAAACAATAAACCAAAGAAAGAACTTAAAAACACTCTGTAAAACTTACATAATTCAGCCATAAGACAACTTTTAAAGAGGAAGTAAATGAAACAATAGAATTCAAATGTAAAAGAGATTTTACATATTGATTTCAGAAGTTCTGTATCTGGCTATTCCTGAGGCTACTTTTCTGTAGTGTGGCCCTGCTCCAGCCATCTGCAGGCTACCTGGACATCTACATAATACTTGAGCATATTCTGCAAGTCTGCTCAAATCAGCCTACAGTGAGACACAGTGGGTATTAGGTTGTCACCCTCAAGCATCTTAATAAATAATATTGCTTTTCAGGGCAAACTGGTAGCTATTTAACCCTAAAGGTCAAAGAAGTGGAGAGAAAAATATAAGGATGAAATAAATCATAAAAGCTTGCAATTTCTAACAAAAACATCCAAGAATATGTGAATGGTTAGAAATTCCAGTTGAGCAGGGTGGTTGTGGCCCATGCCTTTAATCCCATCATTCAGGAGGCAGAGACAGGTGTGTCCTGGTCCACAAAGCGAGTTCCAAGACAGCCAGGACTGTTACCAAGAAGTCAATGATAACTAAATTGTAGGGGGAAAAAACCCCACAAGATTTTATGGATATACCCTACAAGATGGCATTTTATGAACTGGTTATGTATTCCATTTGTTTTATCTGTCTCCACTGATACTGAATTTCAGGAACAAAGACACATAACAAGTGTTGTATTACCCTGTTTTGTAAATAGATTGTTCGGAGATTTACAATGATGGATTTAAGCAGAGTGGATTTTACAAAATCAAACCTCTCCAGAGCCAGGCAATATTCTCTGTTTATTGTGACATGTCTGATGGAGGAGGATGGACTGTAATTCAGAGACGATCTGATGGCAGCGAGAACTTTAACAGGTAACTGCTTTTAACAAGCAATTATTTAGAACAGCAGATGTGAGATTTGTGAGTTAAGTCTTCTTATGCCTCAAATTTAGTAATATTTCAACTTTACTTTCTCATTTTCAAGTAAGAATATATGAGAGTGAGTAAACTAATCAAGAGAATATTAGAAATGAGAGAATGCAAGGAATACCATAGGTGTTATAGGTGTCTATTTGTATTTTGCTAAAACTAACTTTCAATTTAAATTTTTAGGGGTTGGAATGACTATGAAAATGGCTTTGGAAACTTTGTCCAAAGCAATGGTGAATATTGGCTGGGTAACAGAAACCTTAACCTACTGACTATGCAAGGTAAGTTTTGCACTTGCATACAGAGGGATGCAATCCCTGGTACTGCAAAACAAACAAAGCCCTTGTAGTATTTCCCACTAAATCATAGGCAGTAGAACAAATTCAGTATATATTTTTTTCAGATGTAATAATACTTGCTGAGTCATAATCCCATTTTTAGCATGCTACTTAAAACAGGTATGAGAAACAAAGAAACTAGGTTGGTAGGGAATATACATTTTCTCATGTATGTTTTCTATTCCTTGAAAGGAAATGTGTTGTCAAAATAATTTTTAAAGACTTGAGAGACTGGCAATATATGTGTATATATAATTATATATTAGTATACATATAAGTTATTACCATAATAATACCACATGATAAGCCACTTCAAAACAGTAGGAGTTTGGGTCTAGAGAAATGAGTCAGAGTTCAAGAGTTCATATTGCTTCTCCCAGTACCCACATAATTTAGCTTACAGATGCCTATAACCACAACTCCAGGAATCCTGTACTTCCTTCTGATCTCTGAACGCACCCACACATGTGACATTACTCACACAGTCACCCACGTACACACATAAAAATAAATCTTGAGAACACAAAATAGATAATTTAAAGGAAATGATGACCCTCTGTACAACTCTCTCCACACATATTCACTTGTATGTCTATAACTAGAGTTCAATATTTGTCTAAAATTTTATGATCAATATTTTATTTTTCACAGGCCTTTTCTCCCATCTGTCACCCTCCTTAGATTACTTATAGCCTGAGACTGCAGTCAGCCCCCTTTAGGTATGGTACTCAATGTCTCATAAATCACAGTTGCACTGGCAATGCAAAGGTTTATTCATCCCAGCCAAGCTCAGCCAACTACTGGTCAATCTATACTCAAAACAGTCAGTAGAGTACTAATTACCAGGGTCTTTGAGCCGTAAGAGTGGTAGCTAGAGAGATTGTATAACCCTGATATGTCAGAGTTTCCCCTGATATCAGAGTTCTCAAAATCTACATAAGGCTTCCTTCCACTCAACATATAAATAATCCTAGTTTTAAGAGTATTTTTGCCAGGTGGTGGTGGCACACACACACACACACACACGCACACACACCTTTAATCCCAGCCCTTGGGAAGCAGAGACAGATGGATTTCTGTGAGACAGGAGAGAGAGAGAGAGAGAGAGAGAGAGAGAGAGAGAGAGAGAGAATGTTGTTATGTCTCATTCTGTTTCTTTTGTATATTGGTATTTTCCTGGGTCATTGCTTAAGCCATAAAATCACATTGTGTCGTTCTAAGCAATTCAAGTGCATTTCTCAGGTTATTTTTATTCATATGTTTTTGCTTGGGTAGACATTTTCAACAAATATGATTCCCCCTTCATCTTGCTTGGTGCTGGGTGTTGAAACCAGGCTTTTGCACATCTTAAGCCTGTGTTCTACCACGGATCTACATACATACCCCTTTTGTTTTCTCATTTTGTGTGCAAGCTGGTTACTCTCTAGTCCCACAGAGAAATGTATCTAGGGGCTGGAGAGGTGGCGCCATAGTTAAGAACACTGGATGCTCTTCCAGAGATCCTGAGTTCAATTCCCAGCAACTACACGATGAGTCACAACCATCTGTAATGAGATCTGGTGCCTTCTTCTGGCCTGCAGGGATACATGCAGACAGAACACTGCATATATATAATATATAATACATAACACACACACACACACACATATATATATATGCAATGTTTCTATTAATTCCATGCCTTGAAACATATAGTTCAAACAAACAAACAAAAAAAAAAATGACTGTCCCTATATTCTTTAATTATGACAGCAGTTAAGGCTTTTCAAATTGCCTCTGAAAATAGATTTATTCCTGTTGCCTAAGTTTATTTTGGAAGTATCTGCAATAAAATTAATCTAGCAATGATCATAAATTGCAAGTTTATTCATTTATTGACCAAAAAAATTAGACAGTTAGCTTTCTAAAAATGTGGAGTATTGTCTCTCCACTAACACATGTAACACAGTATCCTACTGTTCCCCCATCCATGTCATAGGCTTGGCTCATATGAGCTAAGTTGATGCTTTCACAGAGCTCCAAATGAAGAAAACCCCTCTTCATACTTGTTCCAGAAATGAGAATCCAGAATTCTCCTGCAAACAGCTTTGAACTTTGTCTCTAAAACCCATTCAATGCTCTTCTTTTTCTGCCCTTCTGTTGCTGAGACAGAGGAAAAGGTAAAGAATAACTTTTTTCAATAGGTGTAGACAGAGGTAGGATGTGGAGGTAGGATATACCTTGAACAAGGTACGCCCTTTACTGCACATCATTTGATGGAGACAGGAGATGGGGTACCAACCATAGACTTGATTAAAGGGCTTTGCTTATTTAAACTTGAAGGAATCTGAAACTCTAAACTCCATCTGTCTGTGAGGTTATTGTGGCATTTTATTGAACAAAATAGGAAGGTAAACTATGTTACCTTGGTGGCACACGCCTTTAATCCCAGCACTCAAGAGGCAGAGGCAGGTGGGTCTATGTGAGTTTGAGGTCAGCCTGGTCTACAGAGCAAGCTCCAGGACAGGCTCCAAAGCTATACAGAGAAACCCTGTCTCAACCCCCCCCCCAATAAAACAAAAACAAAACCACAAACAATGAAACAAAAACTATATGTTCCCTAGTCATTTTATTTCTAATTTTCATTTTGAGAGAATCTCACTATGTACCCAGGCTAGCCCAGAACCTACTGTACTAAGCATGCTGACCCAGAACTTTTCATAATCCTACTTCTGCCTCCCTAGTAATGGGAATTTAAGTGTGTGCCATGACACCCATCTAATTTCTGAATTTAACAACAGTTTTGCTTCAGGTGGAAGCTCAGCCTGTCATTCATAAACAGGGACAACAGGGGAGGGGGTAAGAGGATGCCTTTCTGTAGCAACTATTTAATTAATTTGTTTCACATAATGTTTTTTTTTTAATTCACGTAGACTCTTAACAGTCATCATAGTATCTCTTATCTTTAGAGACTTGTTTTCAATATATATAATTTTTAGCATACATAAATAAAATGTATGCCAAATAAATTAAGTTTGTTTTAAATATTTTCCCATTGGCAAGGAAACTCCAGAAAACCTCTTGATGCAGAGTCACTGGTGTCAGTGTGTTTTCAATAATAGCCTCCTCCCATGCCGTGGAGCATCAGGCAGATTTATCTAGGTAGATTTTTCTAGGTACTCGTCTGCTCTCTCTCTCTCTCTCTCTCTCTCTCTCTCTCTCTCTCTCTCTGATATTCTCTCCCAGTGACATCTGCTCTCCAGGCTTTGATGCTAGCCAAGGAAAGTTTTCATAAAACAACCAGGATTCTTGATTCTTCAAATAATTCTTAGACAATTTCCTGGCTGATCTTTTAATCTATCAGGAAAAACAATCAGGTTCATGTATAAGCAAATGATGGCGACTATATTATGAAATACAGCCCAGCTACTAGAGGTTATAAGGTGTTATTCTTAAAAATTAGAATCTTACTGAAATGAAGAACAAAGGAATAAGCATAATTCTTAAAACTACTATTTTCATATTTTCATTCTTCTCTCTCTCTTTCTCTCTCTCTCTCTGAGCTTTTTGACATAGGGTTTCTCTGTGTAACATTGGCTGTCCTCTAACTCACTCTATATACTAGGCTGGTCTTGAACTCACTGCCTCTGCCTCCTGAGTGCTGGGACTAAAGATGTGCATCACCACCACCCAGTTAGATTTTCTGAATCTATTAACTAAATAATAATATTTTGTGTTCTTTAAAAAGTGAATCGTAGCCAGGCAATGGTGCCACACACTTTTAATCCCAGAACTCAGGGAGGCAGAGGCAGGCAGATCTCTGTGGGTTTGAAGCCAATCTGGTCTACAGAGTGACTTCCAAGAGAGCCAGTGATACACAGAGAAACCCTGTCTTGAAAAACATTCAAACAAAATAAGCAAATTGTGCACTAATTTTAGATTTGTTTTTATTTTTTTAGACAGAATTTTTCTACTTTACTATGTTGCTGTCATTTTCAAATAAAATCAACAATAAAATGCTCATATTGTATTATTACACTGGCATCATTGTTTATTCTTTGAAAACTGATTCTTGGCAGAGGAAATTATAAGAACAAAGCAAAACTGCTATTTATTTTTAACCTTAAAAGCCAATGACATGTCATATATTTAAACAACATTTTCTTAACTGTTTCTTATTTGTTTCTGTTGGATTTTTTTTTTTTTTTAGGAGACTATACTTTAAAAATTGACCTGACAGATTTTGAGAAAAATAGTCGCTTTGCACAATACAAACATTTTAAAGTTGGAGATAAAAAGGTACTAAACATTTTATATAGGTAATGTCTTAACACTGAAACTATACAACTAAGCCCTGAAGTCTGTAGAAATAAAAATATATAATATAGCCTGTGTTGTTTATTTAACATGTTTTTCAAATGCTTCTCGCTAATAGTGAAAATGCCTCTTTTCTCCTTAGTCTTTTTATGAACTGAACATTGGAGAATATTCTGGAACAGCTGGGGACTCCCTTTCAGGGACTTTTCACCCCGAAGTGCAGTGGTGGGCTAGTCACCAAAGAATGAAGTTCAGCACATGGGACAGAGATAATGACAACTACAACGGGAACTGTGCTGAGGAGGAGCAGTCTGGCTGGTGGTTTAACAGGTTTGATGCTTTGCACACAGTTGTGGAGGCAGTAAGATATCTCACTGGCAGGCATTAGTTATAACAAGTGAGGTAATGTTGACTTTATCTGTGAGGTGCTTTGGGGAACTTTTTCACTGTGTATATTAGTAAACTCTGGAGGATATGCTACAGAAGCTGGTGTGGTGTCACGTTCCAGCAATCCCAGCATTGGAGGCAGAGACAGGAGGATTGCAAGTTCAAGGCAAATTCTAGTCTACATAGTGACTTCAAGGCTAGCCTAGGAGCCTGGGACATTTAACAAGATCATGTCTTAAACACACACACACACACACACACACACACACACACACTAAAAATTCTGCTTTTACAAGGACATTTGCAAACTGAATTACTATTGATTTATAACAAGATTACAAATTGACATGAGGAAGTAGAGAGCATGCGCACATATACATATTTGTGAGCCTAGTGTCACTCCTGTCTTTCTGGCACTTGGAGAAAGTGAGGCCATCATGGGACCTGCCTTAAAAAAATAAAAAGCATCATGCATTGACATTAACTAGACCCAAAGTGATGTTTTGAATTTGCATGTTTTTATAATAAAGTTTGTTTTTAAAGAAATCTTAAAATGAACGAAAAGGAGGAATGGAGGAAGGAATTGGCAGCACTCTATCACCCACTAGCTCTTCATTGTCTCGAGTCTTACAAGACAACCCCTGTCACTGCTGTAATTTTAGTGTTTTTATTCATTGTGACTTTTACTAGTTCATCTAATGCAAGCCTTCCTAATGTAGGGAAAATTGCTACAATATTCTTGACACTTAATCCTACCCCAATTGCTGTTTGAATACTTCAATATTATCATCAAGCTCATTCTTTTGAGTATGGAGGGACTGGGAGACTGGTTCCTGGGGATCAAATCCTGGGCTTTGCAAGATAGGCAAGCATTCCATCACTGATGTACATCCTAGCTTCATTTCATTTTTGATGATACAGAGTTCTTCATGTTGTGAACATGAGATATACCTCTTTTTTATTGTTGTTCTCTTCTCCACACATACACTCTTTTTTTGTTTTGTTTTGTTTTGTTTTTTGAGACAGACACACATATAGGCCAGGTTGGCCTCCAGCTCACAGTATAGCTGAGAATGGTCTTGAACCCCTGATACGGCTGACTCTACCTCCCAAATGCTGGAACTGAAGACCTATGCACCACTCACTGCAGCTAGCTGAATCTGCTTTCTTGCCAGGTTTCCTCCCCATAGCCACAGAGTAGCTGCAATGCCATTTCAGCAGAATTCTTGCAGGCCTTGAATGAAAAATAATGCATTGTATCATTTAGAATTGTCTTGCCTCTGAACCAAATGTCCCTGGTTCCTTTAACTGTTTTCCCAACTGCATTTTATTTTATTTTATTTTTTGGTTGGATCATCCAGTTAAGGCAGGGAAGGAAACTTCATGCAGTTTTTCTTAAAAAAAAAAAAAAAAAAAAGATCCAGTTGGCCTACTACAACTACAGAAGCAGTGTGAAACAAAGAATGTTAGTCAAAGCATCAGCTTTGGAAATCCTCTGTTTGCATTAGAAAACAGGAGCCACCTCTAAATATCTGGACAATTAAACTTTCTGTTAAGAAAACTTTGGCACTGGGTGGTAATTGTGCACACCTTTAATCCCAGCACTTGGAAGGCAGAGGCAGGCAGATCTCTGTGAGTTCCAGGCTAGCCTGGTCTACAGAGCTAGTTCCAGGACAAAGAAACCTGTCTTGAAAACAAAAACAAAAACAAACAAACAAAACAAGGTATTTCCATCAATTAAGGAATTAAGGTAAATGTATGCAGTTGTAAAAATAGTAGGCTTCCCCGCTGGGTTTTACTTTTCCAAAATTTGAATCTATTTAGCAGTTCATCATTTATTAAGGAAATGGAGTACACACAACAGTGTGAAGGGATGGAGATGGAACATTAAATCCTTTTCTCCGACTGTGCTAACATGATACACAGTGACAATCTTTTCCCTCTTAGCTTTCTTGTTCTTAAAAAATAAAATTGTTCCCTTCTCCTCCCCTTCCCTTTTTCTTCCTCTTCTTGTAAGTAAGCATAATTTAAGCACTATTTAAGACTTACCTATAATTAACAATGTCATCTGTGAACATTCATTAATATCTGATTTTGATCAGACTTAAGGAAATCATCATCAATATTTCTGAGAACTAAAGTGTGTACATCATCCAGTTGATTGGGTGGGTAGTTTTACTCCTGAATGGCAGATGCACACATATTAAGGAAGGAAAATAAATGATACAGTTGACTTTAGAAATGGGGATTGGAGAGAGAGGAAAAAAAAAAAAAAGGCAATTCAGTAGCAGGAACCCAAGAAAAACAGGCCACACTAGAAAGTAAAATGTTCCAGAAACCTGATCTTTCATTTTCTGTGTCACGTTCTGATTTTTGGGAATTGTTGGCACTTCTCAGTGTTTCTCACTACTGAGGCTGGAACTGCAACGCCCCCTACAGGTTTATGTATTTGTAGTCCAGCCCCATCCAGGTTGGAGCCTTCTGCTTCCTATTCATAGTCATCTAAAAAACAGCTGACACGTGTTCCTGCCACTGATGCTTAACACCATGTACGTTTACCACTAGGAAAGACTCTAACCCCTGAATCATGAGCCAACATCAGTTCTTCCTCCCTTAAGTTGTTTTGTGCGATATTTGGTCACAGCCAAGAGAAAAATAACTAAAACACCTTATTACTGCCTTCTTTGCCATTCTGGTCTTGCACTATGCAACCCCCAACCCCCAACCTCCTATCCCCCTATCCCCCACCCCACACCTATACACTGCCCACCCCCCCCAAGCACTTCTTTACCTTGGAACACCAATCTTTAATAAATAGTGTCTCGTCCAGGCTAGAAACTGAAGGTTACTGGAACATTGGTCTCAGAATACTAAGTAATAGACCCTATAGCCCAGTTTTCAATGTGCTCCAAACCAGACCAAATATAGTAGTTTCTGTATAGAAAGATACACAATAATATTTGTTCTGGTTATTGTTTTTTTTTTTAATGTTACTTCTCATGGTACTTTAAGAACACAGTGGATACTGAATCCTTGCAGACTTAGCATGCATGGTTTCAATTAGTCCTAACTATTTAAATTAGGAGGACTGTCAGGGCGGTCAATGAGAGCAAATCACAACTTAGTAATCCAAGCCTGTTACTTTGCATTCATAAATGAAATATATGCTTTTCTGATTCAGTGATGTGCTTTTTTTTTCTTTTCCCAGAACTAGTTCTGAGTAGTCTTCTCATAGCCTCCAGTCTGATATCTTTTCATTAGTTACAGCAATAAATAACATATGGTGATTAATATCATAACAGGAAAATGATCACAAGCTGTTACATGAAATTTATGCATGCCAAAGACAGACTAGTATGCAGACTCCAAAGGAGGAAGAAGGAAATGTTTAAATTTTACAATAACCTAACAAACCTATCTAGATTGTTCAGTATATGTAAAAAATTAACTTGGCAACTCAAACAAAAGATTATTTTCTGATATCTAGGAAGTTTTTTAAAAGAAAGTTTAGATTCTGTTTGCTTATCTTGATGATCTAAATAATTGATATGCTAAAAATCAAAGAAGGGAAAGATGGGAATTTGAATCATGAAAGCCACGTCTTGACTGTATATTGGTGAACTTGGAAACACAAACTACCCAGGAAGCTATAGGAGAGCCCCTTGGCCCCACATCTTACCTGGGTAATTGTGCCATCTTGGCCAAGCACGACATTAACACTGTTCAACTAGGAGGATGTAGGTGAAGGTTACATAGCAGTATTTCTTTGCTTCTTTTTCTTTTTTTGGTTAAAGGTTTCTTAGTTGGGGTTTCTATTGCTGTGAAGAGACACCATGACCACAGCAATAATTATAAAGGAAAACATTTAATTGAGATGATGGCTTACAGTTTTAGAGGCTTAGTCAATTATCATCATGGTGGAGAACATGGCGGCATGCAGGCAGACATGGTGCTGTCTTGATCAGAAGGCAACAGGAAGTAGTCTTAGCTTCACACTGAGCAAAACTTGAGCAAAGGAGACCTGTAAGCCTGCACCCACTTCCTCCACCAAAGCCACACCTCCTGATAGTGCCACGCCCTCTAGGCTTAAGGGGGTCATTTATAGTCAAACAATTACAGAAAGCTACTAAGAACTGAAATACACTGGGCAGTGGTGGTGGCACACACCTTTGATTCCAGCACTTGGGAGGTAGAAGCAGGCAGATTTCTGTTGCAGATCTCTGTGAGTTCAAGACCAGCCTGATCTACAGAGTGAGTGCCAGGAGAGGCTCCAAAGACACACAGAGTAATCCTGTCTTAAAAAAAAAAAAAGCTGAAATGCTTATTTTTTTTAAACATATTCCAAATGGTCTGGGATGGATCTTCACAATCAGTGTGGGACCAAAACTCACCTGTTTAGACAATAACATTTGGTTGTATAAAGCTCTTATGTTTAGGAAAATTATATATATATATATATATATATATATATATATTCCCCCCCCCTGGGAAATGGCAGAAGTCATCGTCTAAAAGTATTGACCATTTCTTACCATAATAGTTTCTGACATGCACTTCCCTTCTGATGGTTCTGTTTTCTTTTGTTCTCCCACTAGGTGTCACTCTGCAAACCTGAATGGTGTGTACTATCAGGGCTCCTATACAGCAGAAACCGATAATGGGGTTGTCTGGTACACCTGGCATGGGTGGTGGTATTCCTTGAAATCTGTGGTAATGAAAATTAGGCCAAATGATTTTATTCCAAATATCATTTAATTGTTCCCATTGTCCTCTTCTTGCAACTTTTGGTTTGAAATATTTGAGAAATACAATCCTGAATACATGTATGCATGGTGATGGCAATTGTGTGTGATTTCTCATCCTTCATACTGCCTTTATTACTAAATGAACTTTAGGTTCAGTAGATACAAAATGTTCACCAAATAACTGTAGATTATATTAATATTTACTGAGTTCTTACGTACATAGGGGTTAAGAGTTCAAACTGTATAGAAAACAGCATAGACTAATTAGCATAATTAAGTAATAACACAAGCCTAAATTTGGAATAATATATCATATATGGCTGGGTGTAGTAGTGCACACCTTCAAACCCAGCACTTAGGAGGCAGAGTCAGGTGGATCTCTGAGTTTGAGGCCAGCTTGGTTTGTAGAATGAGTTCCAGGTCAGTCAGGGCTACACAGAGAACCCCTGTCTCATAAAAATCATAATAAATAAATAATATATGGTGTAACTGACCAAGCATGAAACAAAACACAGCTAATAATGGATATTTTGATCAAATCTACTGCACAGATAAGTATTACAAATTGGGTTTTGAATTCAGGTCTCTTGCTACAGAGTTAAACTGTTAAGCACAATCCAGGTTCTTTAATGATATAAACACTATTCATGTCTTCAGTACATTTCCATAGTTTATACCTTCCTACATAGGCCTTAGTTTACATTTGATGTTAGTTGATAGTGGAGAAGCAACCAGAGGCCCCGTCTTCCTTCGTATGGAAGCCCTGTGGGGGGTATTATTGCCATTTAACTTATCTGGGAATTTCTGAGTTTTGGTTAATGCTCAAAGTTAGCAAAGATGCAAAACCTCAGATCCAATTATTTGGTGCTAAGTGAAATTATTTGACACCATCTTGTGGCTTCTTCAGAATGAATCTTGATTGGTGTTTTTATGTGCAGTTAAAAGAAAGATCTTCCAAAAACTGTTTGCATGACAACTCTGTGTCAGGTCCAGAAGACAGATACAGTTTGAGCCCAGATAGCTAAGTTAGGGGGAAAAGGTATACACCAATCACATATTGTATTGTTTTTGCCAATGAGGTTACCATAGGCAGATCAGGAAGATGGCAGCCCCCTGCTGGTGCCAAGAGAACCACTTCCGTAATCTTACTACCTCAGAATAATTTGGCATCTTCAGCCTATTGGAACTGTGCCAAGAATGCCCGTCTTTGCACTGTGCCCTGTTCATTTTATACATATCCAGATAGCAATGGTGTCCTCCGCTCCTACAGTTGTCATGTCTGTCACTAACCTAACATGCAAACACACTGAAACAATCCTCAATACAGTGTACCCTTGGTTCCCAGCATCCCCACTGTCAGTCAGAACTGTAACATACAACCTGTCATGAAAAGGCAAGAGAAACATGATAAAGGCAGCCTCCTATCAGTTCCTCCTCCTTCATTCTGGCCTCTGGCTAAGGAGGAAGGCTAGTTATAGGAGAAATTATAGCAAAATTTAACTGCAAGAAAGAAGCACTCGAGAGGATGAGTGTTCTGTGTCAAGACCCATAGTAAATTCTTAGATGAAATAAGGATGATTTTTGAAAATGGATAATTGACTTGATGATAATCTTTATTATGAGTACTGTGATCTAAGGAGCCTGAAAGTATAGTTCAGAACTCTCACAGTTTCCAAGCTGTAGAATGTGGATATTTGTATACATGGTGTCATTACAAAAGAGATATGTGCTTAATTTGGTGTAAACTGTACCAATTGATGGGTAAATGTAGAATACTAACATTGTACTTATGAAGGTTTTAAAACTTAATTCTAGTCAGAAGTTTCTGTCTACCCAATACTGCAGCCATTTAGTCCCAAATAGACACACAAAAGGTTATATTAATTATAAACTGTTTGGCTGATGGCTCAAGCTTCTTATTGTCTAGGTCTCTCTTAATTATTAACTCATTCTATTAATTTGTGTATCTCCACATGGTCTTGGCTTATGGGTGATGCCCAGGTCTCTTTCTTCCATGACAGCTACATGGCTTCTCCCTGACCCCGACTACTACCTTTCTCTATCCATATTTGGAATTCTTGCCTGGCTAAGTCCTGCCTGACCATTGGCCAAAACAGCTTTATTTATCAACCAATAAGAGAAACATATAGTCATAGCATACAGAAGGACATCCCCATCATTTAATAGTGTAAATATTCCTAAAGCTGGTCACACATCTAAAAGTTAATAAAGAGAGTAAGTATGTTCAAAAGCTGTTAAGTAGAAAGTAGAAATGTGAGCCTCGATGGCTGTGTGATATAAAGCAGGGTCCTGACCTGGTGGTTGTGGAAGCTGGGTGGCAATCAGAGATACTTTTTAGATGTCTTGAGCTGAAGCCTGAACTAGATACACTTGGGGAAATCATTGCAGGCTGAGGGAACCATAATGCAAAACACATAAAAAAAAGGATATGCAGAGAGAGAGAGAGGAAAAAAGAGAAGGCTAAAAGGTAATAATATAGTTACTGACCCTTCATTCCATATGCTATATGCCTCCACTCTATGGCACAGTGACCTTGGGTAGGCTGCTAAGGTCTCTGAGCCCTAGTTACCCCATCCATAAAACAGAATGTGCCTCTCAGGATTGCTTATAGGGTTACAGAAGGGAAACAGTATAATATAATGCATGAGGTTGGCATTCAGTAAGAGCTGACTATAGTGAACGAAGTAGGCTTTAAAGAACAATGCTTGATGCTTTTCAAAGATGTTTAAAAATCACGGCTTGTTATCCTCAAACAGTGCTCCCTGAAGTGGCACTGCTTTGCCTTCAATGCCATCCAAATCACAGGGGCTCTTGTAGACATGTAAATTCTAATTCAGGGCAGGGATTAAAATTTGGGCTTTCCGACTCATGGTTGCACACACCTATAACTCCAGCACTCAGGAGCTACATACAAGCAGTTGGATTATGGGTTTGAGGCCAGCCTGGGCCACACAGTGAAATAGTGAGTGCCATCATGGAACAAGTAAGGACAATACTGTCTCAAACATTCTGAGTTTCTGACAAGCTTCAGAAGCCATACGTGTTACTGGTATAGAAGTGGAGTTCTGAAAACTAAGAGTACAGAGGAATCATAGTTCCTTGGTATGTTACAGCCTAGGGCAGGAGAATAGGCTACCTAAACAAATGTAGGTGACATAAGAACACTCAACAGACTCAGATCCTAAATATGCTAATGCACGTTCCGAAGTTCTAGTTTAGAGTAGTTTAGCTTCAGAATATAAGTACCTGATAACAGATGTCCAAGCAAATAGGAATCTCCTCCTCCTCTTCTTCTTCTATTCTTCTTTGTAGAAAATAGATAACTTTATGGTATATTTAAAACATCATCTATCATAAATTGTTAGTTAATTAAATATCCATGAAAAAGAAAAAGAAAAAAATCAGATCTAATGTTGATTCAAAACATCTTTTGTAATCCACTCATTGAATAATTCAGGTGAAGTAGGGATGAGAGAAAAGGTTCTTTTTTAAAATCATTTTTTCTTTTTTTTAATTTAATGTACTATTTTACATGTCGATCCCAGTTCCCTCTCCCTTCCTTCCTCCCTCCTTCCCTCCCTCCCTCCCTTTTACCCTCTCTGCCCCCTCAATGCCCCCTCACCCTGACCACCCTCCCCTCCCATCCCAATTCCACATGTAGGGCAATGCCATCCAGGTGGGGTCATGTAGATCTGACAGGCCATTTGAAGTAGGGACTATGACTTCTCTCCTGTTTCTAGGTTAAGGCCGTATCCCTCCATGGGGGATGTGTTCACAAGGTCCTTTTGTGCACCAGGGATACATCCTGGTTCCACTGTCTGAGGTCCCTTAGACTGCTCAGTCCTTCTGGCTGAGACCCATATCCAGGGGGGCCTGAGTCAGTCCCATGCTGACTTCCCAGCTATCAGTCTGGTGGCCCGTTAGCTCCACCTTGTTCAGGTCAGCTGTCTCTATGTGTTTCTGCAACCTGGTCTTGTCCTCTCCATCTGCATCTAGATTCTAGTTTGACTCAGTGTTTGCTTCAGTTTCCAACAGGTTTTAGATGAGGGTTCCATGGATAAGTTAGTTGTTGATCTCATTATCTTAGGGTAACACTTACCAAACAAGTGAAAGGCCTATATAGTAAGAACTCTGGGCTCTAAAGAAAGATATTAAAGAAGATACTAGAAAATGGAAAGACCTCCCATGCTCTCGGATAGGTAGGATTGGCAATCTTGCCAAAAGCAATCTACAGATTCAATGCTATCCCCATTTAAATCCCACCAAAATTCTTCACTGACCTTGAAAGGATAATAATCAACTTTATATGGAAAAACAAAAAATCCAGGATAGCCAAACAACCCTGTACAATAAAAGAACTTCAGGAGGCATCACCATCCCTGACTTTAAGCTCTCCTACAGAGCTATAGTTCTGAAAACAGCCTGGTATTGGCACAAAAATAGAAAGGTAGACCAATGGAATCAAATCAAAAATCCTGATATAAACCCACACACCCACGAACACCTGATTTTCGACAAAACAGCCAAAAGAATACAATGGGGGAAGGAAAGCATCTTCAACAAATGGTGCTGGCACAATTGGATGATGGTGTGTAGAAGACTGCAGATAGAACCATGTCTGTGGCCATGTACAAAACTCAAGTCCAGATGGATCAAAGACCTCAACATAAATTCAGCCACACTGAACCTCTTAGAAGCAAAGAGGAAGTACCCTTGAACAAATTGGTATAGGAGATTGCTTTCTGAACATAACTCCAGGGGCACAGACACTGAGAGAAACAATTAATAAATGGGACCTCCTCAAACTTAGAAGCTTCTGTAAGGCAAAGGACACAGTGGACAAGACCAAACGGCAGCCCACAGACTGGGAAAAGATTTTCACCAAACCTATATCCAACAAAGGGCTGATCTCCAAAATACACAAAGAACTCAAGAAACTAGCCAACAAAACACCAAACAACCCTATTAAAAAATGGGTTAGAGAATTGAAGAAAGAATTTTAATAGAGGAAATCAAAACGGCTGAAAGACACTTAAGAAAATGCTCAATATCCTTAGCTACCAGGGAAAG